TATAGCTCTTAAAATGTGATTTTAACACGCCTTTTAAAAATGTTAAATTACTTCAAATTTATATCAAATTGTTAATCGCATCAGTGGAAAAAAAATCTTGACATAAATGAAGCACTCCACTCGGTATGTAATATACTATTTTACTTATAATCCGAAATAAAATTGTTATAGTTTTTGAGTTGTTTTTTTACTAAACAAAGTCGAAAACTGAAACTAAAATAATATATTATTATAATAATTGGAATATTAAATCTAATTATTTATCCTTCTGGGAATAATTAGTGTGACAATTTCAAATCAGCAGCAAACGATGTAATTACACTCCTCTTATATTAGAACAAAAAAATTACTTCTTTATTTGTAATTGTGCCACAATATGAGAAAGAATTTCGTAACAGCTCTCTTTTTGATACATTTTTCCAAATGTGTCAAACTTCGTAAGTATTTATTATAATTTGTCACCAAAAAACATTTTTTTTTTGTGTTTTTAATTTGTTTGGGTGCGTTAACAGACTAGTGTATTATTTGTTTTTAATGTTGGTGACAATTCCGTTGTCACCAATAAACTCACCAACAACATGAAAGAATAACACTACGTGTTACCAACCGACGCAAAATTCCCTGAATTGAAAAAGTTTAAAAAACAGCGCAAAATTCAAGCAAACAAAATTTTTTAGCCCCAAGTTTCAAAAAATGTGACTTGAGAGACAATAACTACAACGAATGTTTGGGGAAAGCGGTCCAAAATGCCATCGAGCAGTTGACCAGTCCCATGGAGGCCGTTGGTTTACCCGATTTGGAACCACTCGAAGTCCCATCGATGGTCATAGGAGCTGGTAGTGGAGCTGTTCAATTCCAACAAAACTATTTCGATATCAAAATCGGTGGTTTGACGAAAATTGACTCACTTCAAGTCAAGTAATTTGCAATTGATTTTAATCAATTGAAGTTAATTAATTATTTTCGCAGTTTTGATTTGGTGGAAAAACGCCTAACTTTGGACTTGCACTATTCCCAAGTCAAAATGGAGTTTCATTATGAAATCAACGGGAAAATGTTGTTGTTGCCGATTTATGGCAAAGGGCCAGGTTTTATACACTTTTTAGGACGTCCTAGATTCGTCTTCAATTTCGAGTTACAAGAGTACCAGAAAAACAAGAAAAAATATTTCAAAGTGAACAACACAAGCTTATTAATGGAACCACAACTGATCAAATTTCATCTGGAGAATTTATTCAATGGTGATAAGACTTTGGGCGATAATGTGGTCCAAGTCATGAATGACAATTGGAGGGAAGTCTTCAATGATGTTAGAGGAAGCTACGAGGAGGCTTTTAGTCAAATCTTTGGCGCTATTTTTAACAATCTCTTAAATAAAATACCAATTGTTGAGCTGTTTGACGGTTGGGGTCTGTAATATCGCAAAAATAAATGTTCTTAGCTTTGCATTTTGTATTTATTAAAAAAATTTTGATCAATATCTGGTACTCGGAGCGGATATCTGTCATGTTAGAAAACTAAAATTTAACCAAAAAATTATCGAAAGCGTGAGTTTCATGGCTCAAAAAGGCCTAAATTAACGTTTAAAGAAAAAACATCACATAGGGTGCCTTGGATTTTTGACAGTTGTTGACATTTAGCGTAAAAGTGCCATAAAGAAAAAACATCACTCACATAGGGTGCCTTGGATTTTTGACAGTTTGTTGACATTTCGCATAAATGTGGCTTACACTCTGAGAAAATCGAACAACAACGATGGTAAACGTCGCGTGTGATTTGAAAAAGTCACAAAAAGGTGACCTAAATAGTGTTTGTGTGTTGTTTTTTTTATACAAAGTGATTCTGTGGTGAAAAGTACGATTGGTGCGAATAACTCAGAGTCGCCGAAATGTCGTCGATTGACTATAAAATCCCAAACTTTTGTTTGAGGTGTAAAATTCTTTTCGGTGTTTTGAAGAAAATATAAACTTTTATGCGCATGCGCATGCTTTAAATGTGATAACTAGCGTTCGGATTTTTATGCAATAAAATTACTGAAAATGTGCGCATTTATAAGCAACGTTTAAGAGAAATATAAGAAAAAAATATGCGGTTTTTCACTAAATATGCAGAATTTTTTGGATGCAAAAATAATGTAAAATATTTAAATGATTTATTAACACAAACTAGTCACAACTATTAGTTGTCATCGAATGGCAAGCTTTTCTAAATTTTTTATTGTTAACTTTTGACGATGATCCGCTAATGTCTCATAATATTAATTGCCTCAGAAAGGGACCATTGGCTAGTTCCTATTGGAGTAATATGCTTACTTAAAAATGTACAGAGTGGTTATAAATGATTTTCATCTAGCCAGCTTTGGATTTTTTTGCATGTAACTTTATTTGTGCCGCTTTATTTTTTTTGAAAACTCTAGTTTCGTCATTAGTGTCACTTATTATTTAATAATAGATTGTTGTTAATTATACTTTTATTCTTTCAACTAATTTTCAATAATAATTGATAAAAATGTATACTTTGGAAGACAACAAGTTTATAATTGAAGTCTATTTTCGAAGTGGACGCTTAGTAAACGGCGATTTTTTAATTTAGACTTAAAACAACTAGGTACCCCTATTTTCGTAAAGCGACATTTTTTATTTTACATGGAAAATTTACAGCTGGCTAGATGAAAATCATTTATAACCACTTTGTATAACTTGCCTTGATAAATGCTAATTGTTTTCTTATTTTTTTTTTCATCAAATAATTTTTTACATTTTATTTTTGATTCAGAAAATCTGAAGTAATATTTTCAATATTTTGGTAATGGTCGGCATAAAAAAAATGCTGCCTCCAACCTGTACAGTTGCGGAGTTAAAATTTCGGGCAGTATTTTTCTATCACTTCAAAAAGTTTACTGTAAACTACCTTTTACTGTCATCATGAATGATATTTGACAATTAAACTTTTCTGTCGGTGACACAGTCGGTTTGAATTTTTTACTAAGCCAAAAATATGCCAAGATTTACTGTTTTAACTTAATTTACTACAAGTTTTCGGGGTTGTACCTACAAAATGGTACCTGGAGTCACTAAACTATTGTTTTAGAGTTAACTTTGATAAAATTCTTTAAAAAATTATAACAAAATTGTAGATTTCTGCTTATTCAGACGAGTGATTTAGTTAATTTTTTGTGTGGAGGTCTATTTTTTAGTGATTAACTATTATTAATATTAAAATTATTATTTTTATCTTGAAGTAATTTTATTCGTACTAATTGAAAATCCACCTTCTAAGTTACCTACGTTGTAAATTTTATAAAAATCAGTTGGTAAATAACAGAGATATTAGACGTGAAAGTCTTACGTGGAACACCTTGTATAATGAAAATTTAAAAATTGAGGTTAGGTACATTTGCATGTATACATATTTATTATTCGATATCTTAAAAACTGTTGAGTATGATTTTACACCTAGACGCTCATATTTCAAGCGTTTTTGCGACTCTAAAGTTTGATCGATCATTTTTACGATTTTACCAGTGAATTCCAAACTCCAAAAATTCTGAATTTATTAAAACTCGACTCATTAATATTTTATGCACTTTTTTAGTCTCTATAATCTCTAGATTTCATAATCGTTAAAAATGGCCAAGTTTTTGAGGATTCAAATCCGAAAATTTTCAAAAAAGTCTAAAAATCTTTAAAACGGCTGAACTTATGTATATGGAAAATCGAAAAAAAGAGCAGATAAAATGTTATCACAGCTTTTCTCTTACGTTATGATTGTTTTGTTTAATGAAAATGTTTTCAAGATGGCGGCACTTCCAGGCAATTATCATTGTATAGGGGGGTTAGTCGGAGCACTCTGTATGTCGTAGCGCTCATTTTATTTACTTAGTTCAACGCAAAAAAACATTGTAAATAAACAAGTATTTATTTATTTATTATTATTTTTCTAAACGCCATCAAACAAGTCAGATTTTGGCACTTTGGTTAAGAAATTATCAAAAATGGACTTAAATATCTTGCCGAAGGCCTCTTCGTAGCTCGATTGGACGTCTCCGTAGACTTCTTTCCAGTTATCATTCATGATTTGGAGCACATTTTCTGCTAAAATCTTATCACCATTGAACAAATTTTCCAATTCGAAGTGCATTTTTTGTGGCTCAATTGACAAGCTTTGTTTGCCTATTTTGTAGTACTTTGTACCATTTTTTTCGTACTCTTGGAGAGGAAAATCGATGACGAATTTCGGCTTAACTGGAATTCAAAATCAATTTTTTTAAATTGTGTAAATAATTATTTTACCCATGGTGATCGATCCTGGTCCTTTCCCACTGATGGGCAGTACCAGAATCCGTCCATTGATCTCATACTCGAAAACTAGTTTAATTTCGGGAAATTCGGCATCGATTTTGAGATGGTTATCCTTGAAAGTGGCTTCAAGCGAATTAATTTTTGTGTAACCCGAAATTTTCAAATTTTTGTAGTTTTGTTGGAACTGGACAGGACCGGTTCCAGCCCCTATGACCAGCGCTGGTACTTCTAATGGTTCCATGTTGGGCAAACCCACGTTCTTGATGGGTGTTGTTAACTGTTCCATACCATTTTTAATCGCTTCAGATAGGCATTTGTCCACGTCGGGTTTGCTTACGTCACATTTTTTGAAAGTTGAAGCTTTAAAAATTCACTCAAAATTGAAGTTTTTACAATTTTTTTACTTACGAAGCTTGGCATTTTCGCACAAAGCTAACAACACGAGAAAAAATAAGAAAACTGTTAACTTTTTCATGGTTTCTAGGCGAATGATGAAATTTTTTTACCATATGTTTATTTATATTGAGAAAGAATTGTTATTTAATTTGTATGGAAACCTGTTTTGATGCAATGAAAGGACGTACAAGTGTTTGCTGTTACTTTTATTAATCACATTATGTAAATAATTGATTATTTTGCATTTGTTGCAACGTAAATAAGCATTTTGCAGATTTGAAAAACTTTGAAATTCGGAAACATTAAATATTTTTAGGTTATGTGACAGGTCACGTGGTTAGATCTAGCCAATCACAATGCGGGATTTTCGGAAATTGCCGAGTTGAAAGAACTGATTTTCTGTTTTGTTACTAATTAGTAATAAAAAATTTGATTTTTTATTATTACTAAATGAGAAAATATAATATACTGGGTGATTTAAAAATCACCCCGTATAATACTGTTGACAAAAAATATAATAAAACAAGTGGGATATTGAGTTTTTACGTGTTTTTTTGCTATTTGTTTTATTTTTCTTACACAAATAATATGATAAATACGAAAATAAAACTAATTGATTGTCAAATTAAATTTTCTTGTTATTTTAACATATTGCAAATTGTCCACAGTCCAAGATCATTTATTGTCACTTTTGTTTACGACACCTGATTTAAAATTAATAAAACTCATTAGAATAATTCTCACAATCTGGGAAATTGTTTATTTGTCCTTGAAACGGCATTTAAAGTCAACACGCGATGAAAAAAATTACGAATATGTAATGAAATTAATTTAATTATCAATTAAAAGGCATAACTGAGGACAAACACTCAGAAATGAGACTCCTAATCTGGTTTAGCTTTCTCGCAATTTCGTTATCGCACGAGTTGCGTAAGTATTTTTTAATTTTGGGTCAAAATTTCACAATTTTTTAGCCTCAACGTTTCAAAAATGTCCCCGAAAAGGCCCAAATTTCAGTCAGTGTTCGGTGAAAGCGGTCGAAAATGCCGTAAGGCAACTCACTAGACCCATCAAAGAGGTGGGGTTGCCCGTCATTGACCCATTAGAGGTACCATCGATGACCATCGCGCCTGGAAATGGGCCCACCAAATTTCAGCAAAATTACAAAAATATGAAAGTTTGGGGCTACTCCAAGGGGCAATTTTCGAAATTTGAGTGAGTGGGAAAATGAAATTTTGTAAAAAAATCCAGTTTTGATTTTGGGCAAAAAACGGTGACATTGGATGTGTTATTCCCCGAACTGGTTTTCGAGTTTGAGTATGATTTCAATGGGACGATTCTGGTGCTACCTTTTCAAGGTCATGGGCCTGGGGTGGCCATATTTGGTAACAAACTACGATTTTTACGCAATTTTTTCAATTTTTTTCCAGAAAAAATCAAATATTTTTTTGATTTTTGGTTGGAAGAATATACGAGGGGTGGTCGAAAATATTACAGAGTTGTCCGAAATAGACTTGTTATGGAGCCAGAGTTAATCAAATTTAAATTTGATAATTTGTTTAATGGTGATAAGGAGTTGGGTGATAAGATTAATCAAGTTTTTAATGACAACAGCAAAGAGGTTTTTGGTGACGTCAAGTCGAGTTATGAGGAGGCTTTTGGGCAGATTTTTACAAATATTTTTAATCGTTTGTTGGCAAGAGTGTCTATTGTTGACCTTTTTGAATGATAAAAAATAAAAAATAAATTAAACTGGTTTTCCCAATTATGCAATTATTGAGCAAAGCCGACTATATTCTTAGCAAGAAGTTGAATAAATCAAAACAAATAAAACGTAACAACGTTATCATTGAGTTTACAAAACAACCTTGTTATCTTGTTGACACAATAATAATGTTTTGAGAGAATTAAAATCTCAATTTAATAAAAGTTGAGATGTACACAAATTCGGTCGAAATATTCATTTACGATTTAAACAAAGACTCTCATTGTTGGTGCAAAGATGAATTTTTGCAAATTTTGACTGATGATGAAGGTAAGTTGGCAACATTGTTATTTTATTTCTAAGTGTTGCCAACCAATAGTTATCCTACACTCCAGCATTGTCGTCCATGGAAGTGAATACAGTTACGGCGAGAACGGAATCGAACAACACAAACCCGTATTTTTTATTTTTTATTTTTTATTTGTTGTTAATCTTGTGATAAAATAATTGTAGAAATTACGACCGCAATATGTGACAGATTTGGACTTTGAGGAAGCCGTAAGTCGGATAAAACTAGTGGGGAAAACGCATTTGACAAAAATTGAAGTCGAATTATTGGTCGAAAAACTGAAAAATGACGCGAATTGGCTGTAAAATTACTTATTTATTTAAGTTATTTTTTTATAATTGGTTTCAGGGCTTGTAAATTTAATCCAGTGGAACACAACTGTCACCATTTTTCCGATTTATTTATTAAATTGTTGTGCGGGGTTGGGGCTGTTTTACCAGCGGAAATTTATAATTTTAATAAGAATTTGTTGGAGCATAGAGAGTCCTGGATTTACGAATTTTGTGTAAACAATTAAAAATACAAGATTAATTGTGTTGTATATGCAACCAGTTATACACTATTAGAACTTTTAAAAGTTTTTTATGTTTTTAATATAATTTTATATTTTTAATAAAAGCTTGTTGGAGCATAGAAAGTTTTGCATTAACAAAACTTTATAAACAAAAAAAATACAAGTATAGTAGTTGTGTTTAGGCAACTAATTATACACAGTTATAGAATTTTTAATTTCGTGTTAAAATAAAACGTCTGCAACTTCATATACAGAAGTGTATTGTATTGGTGGTTGTCTACATACATATTTTTATTTAACAACATGCATTTTTGTTTTAATTAATTGCTGTATTAACTACTAATTGATTTATTAATTAACACAGATTTGTATGGTGGTTGCCTGTAGGTACATACAAGGTGATTCACGAGGTATAATGAGCCTGACCAAATTCTCGAAGCAACCACCATTACTCTTCGCAAGTTATTTTGCGACAACTGTAATGTTGGTTGCATCGAAAATTTGGTCAGGCTCATTATTCCTCGTGAATCATCCTGTATATTTAAATGAATTTAAATTTTTCAATACTTGCCTCAAGTTTTGCAACAATTTTTTACTTATTACTTAATATTTTCAAGCTTGGGTAACCTTCAAGAAACTTGCTCATTAAAAAACAATTTTATTACAAACCCAATCAGTGATTAAAAAGTGTTAAAAAAATCGAATAAATTACATAAAATATTACACTGAACACAAGATATTTGATGACTTTGTTGGCAATATAGAATCTTTTCCATTTTATTTTGGCTTGTGGAAGTGTGGAAATGTCATCTTTGACTAAATATTGCCTCAAACCCAGCGCATGGGTCTTGTGGTACTCGTCCCAATCTAGCGTTTTCATACTGAAAGGAAACATGGCCCTATCGTCGTCATTTATGAAATTCCAAAGGGCCTGTGTGTTGTCATTGTGGAATTTCCACTCGTTGGTGGAAAAGTGCGAAATAACACTTTCGAATTTGGTGATTTTCTTGTATATTTTCACCATTCTGTGGGCAAAAGTATGTTAAATGGCTCGGCTTCGCCTCGGGTATACTTACATTGGCCGTTGCTTCGATAACACCATCCCCAAATCCATGATAAGAGCCGGCAAAAAGTGCAATAAAATACTATACAAAAAATGAACAAAGTAGAATTTATTTAGGATCAAGCAGTAGTACCACACGCATCGTATTGTTGGTACCTCTTCACCCCATAATTGACATTTCTGCATGAAATCCTCCCACGTGTGGTGATTCTCAACGCTCGAAACGTAATTATAAATCGGAATTTTATCGGTTATTTTTTCTACTGCCGTTTTATAAGATGCCGCGATCATGTTGTTAATCACATAGTCGCCTGGGACCAATTCGGCTGTTTTGGTTTTATCACAGTGCATGGTTTTTAGTAGGCCGGTCCCTGCGCCTACTACGATCCCCGTCGCTCCATATAGATTGTCAATCCAGCTGCGTAAAGGCTCCTTATAGGTTGCAATTACTGGAAAAAATCAGTTGGTAACAATGTTTGTCAATGCGAACAGTGTTACCAATTGCAGGACGCACGACGCACACCGGAAGCCCTTTTCCGAAATTTTTCACAGCGTCTTCGGCCACCCCTTTAGTAAAAGTATAAGTGTTGGGCCAATTTCCTATAATCAGTTTTGTTTGTTCGATCAAAGTCGACTCTGGTCTAGTTTCGACCAATTCGATCAAGCCTTGCGCTGAAATTGGCATTTGGTAGAAAACCTCGTTGATTTCTTTTTGAACACAGTTGGCGTAGGCCGTACTGACATGAACAAATGACTGTAGTTTTTGACAGTTTTTGGCCATGTTGAGGAGGTCACGTGTCCCCCGAACGTTAATTGCAGTGGCGACTGTGATTTTTTCGTCAAATCGGACTGTTGCAGCAATGTGAAAAATGACGTTTATCTGTGTAAAGTGGGCTTTAGAGGTGTTTAAGGCCGGGTGTTACTATACTACCTTTTCGTAAATTAGGGTTTTGCTTGAAGGGCTTAAACCTAGGTCAGGGAGGGAGATGTCGCCCTTGATGATACTGATTTTGTGTTGAAACTTGGGGAAAAGTTTTGATAAAGGTCCAAAAATCTGTAATGAGGAAGTGAACGGTTGGCATTGACATTCATTGGGAAATTTGTGTTGTAATATTGGTAATACTGAAAGGTGGAAAACAAGTCCCTTTGTGTAAGGTCACTGAAGTGAAATTTTAAAATTGAAATAAATATTTGACATTTAGAGAATGGAATCAAGTTTTCGAATATAATTTTTCTCACATTTTTGTGAAAGTCCGTCTCTGTACAAACCTTGACTTGTTCCTACTAAAAGTGGCCTTGAATCTGTGGGAAATTCAAGTTCTTTGACCTCTTGTCAAGTGAAAGATGCAATTGCAATTTTATACCTCACCGGAAATGACTTAATATTTATTTCGTGTTTTATGGTTGGCAGTCATTTAAATTTCATTAGGGGAAATTTCGTTAAATGACTAAATGGAAATGGTTATTTAATTGAATAGGAAACTGGCCTTGACAAAAATTTTGATTTTAATTATTGTCTTGGAAATTTTTAAATTTTGTTTGTTTACCAAAAAATAAAGTTGTTAGGTTTAATTTCCTTGTCTGGTGTAGAGAGAAAATAAAAAGATTACAATCTCTTGTTATAACTTTGGTGATTATTAGTCATATTATTACAATTACAGGAACAAAAAAATTACCTTTTTGAATGAACTTAAAAATAAAAATAAATAAAAAAATAAATACAAGGTGTTTCAATGTAAATGGGCTGAAATAACGTAAGTATTTTTACACACAAATGTACATAGTTTCCTGTGTAATTATATTTTCATTATTGTTATTATTCAAAATTTTGAATAAATGATTTTTAATTTTCAAAGGAAAGCAAATTATTTTTTAACGTTTTATTTTTATCATTTGTTTTTATAATGATGAAAATTATAGTACAAATGTACAGTGTGTGGCATAAATAGTATAGTATGTATTACTTTTGCTTACGACTGTACATATTTTGTAATTAATTTGTTATACAGGGTGAATATAAAGTATGGAACCAATTGGTTTTATTTTTGATCATTTGCCTCCAGAAAATAATAATTAATATAAATTAAACTAATATAAAAAATGTGATCGTATTTTCAGAACGAAATTTTGTTTTGTTTTTGAGTTATGCGATTTTTTTTGTCAAAATTGCAATTTATGGGAAAATTTTTTTTTGAAAAAATTAAATATAAAGTAGATAGTTGTAATCCTTAGAGTATAGCTTTTATGAGAAAAATGATTTTATAGTGGGTTGCCATTTAAAAAAATATTTTTTTTT